AAAAAAAAAAAAAATTGAAAGCAAAAGATCTTAAGAGCATGTTTGTTTATGAAAATTTTTGGGTTTGTTTGGATTTGTTGGTTTGATTTAGTTAATTTTGAAAAGATAGTATGGTTAGTTGTTATTGGGTATATTAAAATAATATTTAAAATAAAATAATTAAAATTGGTTTGATGTAAAAGTAGGAGAGAGAAGATGTGATGTGATGGTTAGTTAAAATAATGTGAGTGGTGAATAGTGAATTAAGGTTGATGTGGTGTGTATGAATGAATGATTGATATAATTTAATTATATTAATAATATTAATGTTAGTGAGGTTGAGTTAAAATTGAGTTAAAAAAGGTGGTTGAGTTAAAATGTTGAAATTTTTTTTGCAAAAATCTTATAAACAAACATGCTCTAAATTTTCAACTCACTCGTGCACCTTATCAGGAGTGCTCAGTATATTCGAGTGTCACACCGACGAGAGAATTTAGATCGTACAGAATAAAAAAACAATAGAGTTTCAAAATGTGAAATAAGAACATCAACTACAATTCAACCATAATTTTAATTTTGTTTTATTATTATCTTCTTCTCTTTGCGTGAAATAGTAAAGAAAATAGGAGCCGAATACATGAGTATTTGAAGCCCGATCTGTTTGACTTTCAAGCTTCAATTTACAAAAATCAAAAGCTTGTTTCTTTTACTGCCAAAACTACAAGGTTGACCAAAATGAGATAAGAAGCTTGAGCTTTCTTGACTGGTCTAGGAAGTTGAAAGGATGAGTGAACACAAGTCATCAATCTCACGTCTCAATATTAGTAATGTAAAAAATTGTGCTTTCACGAAAATTTTCCCAACAAAGATAACAACCGGAAGATCATTGTTGGCAAGCGAAACAAGCCCACACTGAACCAGTCGATCAAAAACTCGAACCACCGCCATTACAATAATTCAGCCAAAAGCATATCAATCTATAAGGTGGCCATCATATTTTGGCAGAAAATTATAGTTAGTGTTGTGTGGACCAACATTTCTTATCATAATCAACACACTGTGGACAAATTGATATAGGCAATAACCATTGACTTGAGAGTCGAGGTCTTGCAATAATGTTCACTGCATAATCTCAGAGACACTCAAATGGAGGGCCACACATCCCACACACTGAAATATAATAGTGCAGTCCAACTGCAAATGACTCACGAAAACTAGACACTATAGCTTAATCATATTTAAGTTTCAAGTAAAACGGTAAGTTCATCCGCGACCACACACACGATAATTAAGCAGCCTCAGTAAGCAAGCATTGTCATGACTTCCACAGTTCCCTCGAGTAAAGTTCATCCGCGACTGCACACACAAGTAAAGAAAAAGAAACAACACTTAGCACTTAGAACATTTAGATCCCAGGCAACCAAAAAAAATAAGACCTTTCAGAAAAAATTAGCCAATTATCTTCAACCTCACAAGCACCCACCTTAAGGTATAACAAAAACCAACTTATGTTTTGCATTTTCTTAATAAGTATAACATACTGAGGTTTTGAAGTAAGAAAATAGAAACACAAATCACGGGAAAATTTTTAATTTCAAAATATAGCCAATATAATCCCAATTAGCTGCAACTCAAATCAACGTAAATCTCAAGATAATTTTAGCAACTAAACCTAAGATAGTACAGAAATTTAAAGTCCAGAATCCAAGTAGTCTTCTTGCGTGTCATTTCCCATATAACTTGTTAAACACGACTAGACCCGTTTTCAATTTGCCCATACCACGTAAAACAGAAAGTCTTCCAGATGAAAATAAGGTAAATCATTTTATGTGTGTGTGCCATTTTTTCTTCAAGTAACCAAATTAGAGATTCTTTGCTTTCAAGGAGAAAAACAAATTTCAATAACAAAACTACATTTCACTTTTGCTCCTTTTCAATTTCAACATAAGTCACAAAAACAATTCCAACTATCCACACTTTTGAAAGGGAAAATATTTGTGAGAAAATGAGTCGAAACTCTAAACCTTTCATTTCTGCACGAGAAAGTACACACAAAAATTTATATATAAAAAAAAAAAAAAACAATGAATTTATATGAATTAAACAGTCTTCCCTGCAAGCAAGGACCCTACTTTTACTTCATACTCCGAGTAATGACAATAAGCATTGACTTGAGAGTCAAGGTCTTGTAATGCATTTAATTAAAATTTGGCTCTACACTTATGATAATGGATCCCCTCCACTTAAAATCGTTATTTTCTATTTTGTAATGCGAAATATTCGTTTTCAGTTTGCCCTCCACGTAAATCAGTCTCTTATCCCCAAGAAAATAAGGCAAACTCAATTATGACATTATCTAAATGAGGCCCGCATGTTGTCATGTAAATTTCCTCTTTGTGGCTATATATATGCTTGTGTGCCAACAGCCTAGAATATGAATCAACTCAATCACCTGCCCAAAAAAAAATGGAGAATAATTATCCTTTCTTCATCTTCTCCACTCTGCTAATTATAATACTCAGCAGCACCATTAACAGTAAAACGTCCTTAGCCGCCACAACCGATGGAAACGCACTTGTCCAATTCAAAACTTCCATCACCTCCGACCCTTACCGTATCTTGGCCACAAACTGGTCGACTCACACCTCTTCTTCCTCCGTTTGTCAATGGATTGGTGTATCGTGTGGCACCAAACACAATAACAGAGTCACGGGACTTAACATTTCCGGTTTTGGCCTCAGAGGAACTCTGTCCCCACATCTCGGGAACTTGACGTTTTTAAGATACTTAGACATCAGTTATAATAATTTCACGGGGCCCATACCTCGTGAGCTGTCTCGTCTGCGCCGCTTGAGGTCTATGGATATGGGATTCAACTCGTTTGGTGGACAAATACCAACCTGGTTTGGGGAGTTAACTCAACTCGAGATAATGCGTCTGACCAACAACACGTTCACAGGTAGAAAACCCTAAGGACATAGCCAATTGTTATTCCCTCCAAATATTAGTTATGAACATTCAACATACAGCATTTTTCCTCTGATTCTGCATGTAATATAAATTATTAATGAAATTAAACTGTTATTCTCATCACATTACTTAGCGCCACCATGAATGAAATAATAATTTTTTCCTTACACACCAATAAACAAAAAAATTATTTTGAAGAAAATGTCTCCAACTGAACCTCATGTTCCCAGAACAAAACCATTAAGTTGGATATCACTAATCAATGCAAAACCATTGTTTTAAGAATAATGCAGTGGCTTTCTTATTTGATTAATGCAGTTTCACAATGACAAACTATATTACCGACAATTTTTCAGGGTCCATACCTCAAGAGTTGTCCCTCTTGCAGCGCCTGAGGCTTATAGATATGGAAGCCAATTCATTGACCGGACATG